CACCTAACTGCAGCAGGGAAGAGCTCCTTGACCCACCCCAGCCATTCCACAGATATATAAACCCATTGTCCTAATTCCAACAGACCTCACTACCTCTGAGGATGCTTGCCATAGATGCAGGCGAAACGTCAGGAGAAATGCCTCTAGAACATGGCCCTATAGCCTGAAAAAACCCACAAGAACCTAGTGATTCCAGCCATGAAAGCCTTCGACAATACATTGAAAGAGTTTTTAATTGTCCCCACATTTCCTCTAGGGGGCAAAAGAATTTTATGGCCAGGAGAGGTCATATTGATCAGGAAACTAATTCTGTTTTCTCTCTGATATTAAAATAGCCTTCTCCTGGGCCCTAAAATGGATTGGAAAGGTTCGAAAACATAGTGCAAATGCCCTCATGTCCCCTAGAGGGCATATGGAGCCAAAAAAATGTACTTCCCCACAATAGTAGGTGCAATGAATTACTGCAGACCTCCAAGATCCCCACCTTCCACTGTTGCCCATCCCTGCCTAATAATAATAATAATAATAATAATAATAATAATAATAACAACAACAACAACAACAACAACAACAACAACAACAACAACAACTCATCTGGGACTTCCAGATTCAGACAGACAGAGTTTTGGACCATAATATTCCTGACCTCACAATCGTGTTAAAAAACGAAGTATGGATCCTCGATGTTGCAATCCCAGGTGACAGCAGGATTGCAGAGAAACAACTGGAAAAGCTGACACAATATGAGGATTTAAAGATCGAACTGCAAAGACTCTGGCACAAGCCAGTCAAGGTGGTCCCAGTGGTGATTGGCACACTGGGTGCAGTGCCTAAAGACCTTGGCCTGCACTTAAACACAATCAGCACTGACAAAATTACCATCTGCCAGCTGCAAAAGGCCACCTTACTGGGATCTGCATGCATTTTTCGCCAATACATCACACAGTCCTAGACACTTGGGGAGTGTCTGACGTGTGATCCAATTCAACAGCCAGCAGAGTGTCTGCTGTGGACTCAAATAACAATAATATTTCAAATAATAATAATAATTGATTTTATTTCTCACCCACCTCTTCCCAAGATTTGAGGTGGGGCAAAAAATAAGTTAACATATAATAGATAACTAACAACACATGGAAGCATTTCAAACACATAGATAAAACATATAAATGTAAGATTAAATACAAAGCACTAAACATTAAAATCATCCTACATATCACAATGTCAATTTAAAATTCACAAGTCTGCAAGAAGAGACAGGTCTCTGTAATGCTGTCTGCACCCTCAGACAGCACCCAAACCTAGTCTAGTCTTCAGTAGAGGCATTCTGACCAAAGCCTGGGCACAATTGCTTCAAAAACACCCCAGGCCTTGTTGATGCATGTTTTCCCATTGATGATCAGCATGTTCCACATCCTTGGCCCTCAGTAAATTATACAAAAGCATTAGATGGGGGATAGCAATTACAGAATCACTAAATCTTTTTTAAGATTCTCAGTACTGGCTTTGGGGAGATGTTACGTTTGTAGTTAGTTACAAGCATAATATGGAGTTGTCCTTCATTACACAATGGTACTTCTGCTTGCCATGTGAAAGCTGATGTGCTTTCACCAGAGACTTTTAAAAAAATATTTGTGTTGCCTACTTATCCATCCTGGCTCACACTAGTTCTGCACCTGGTAGAGCTGTTCAAATCCCCAAAAGGTTTTCAAAGCAGGGAAGTTCAGTGTGCTTCTTCATATTCAGCACTTGGCAGCACATGCTGAACTATATAACACTTTGAAATGGTTGGGTATGGGGTGCCAGTAATCCTTTTCTGTAACAAGAAGCACTGAGAGCTAGTATCAATCATTTGCTTGACCGAAACTTTCAGCTGCTCCAGACATTGTTGGATGGGTGAACCAAGACACATTTGGACTATTGCTTTGACTGCTCATTACAGATACATCCCATATGCATGGAATGTTGTATATTCTCAATAGGAGCATAGTGTCTAGATCTAGGGAAGTAATGCTACCCCTCTATTCCGCTTTGGTTAGACCACACCTGGAATATTGTGTCCAATTCTGGGCACCACAATTCAAGAGAGATATTGACAAGCTGGAATGTGTCCAGAGGAGGGCGACTGAAATGATCAAGGGTCTGGAGAACAAGCCCTATGAGGAGCGGCTTAAGGACTGGGCATGTTTAGCCTGAAGAAGAGAAGGCTGAGAGGAGATATGATAGCCATGTATAAATATGTGAGAGGAAGTTCAGCAGGGAGGGAGCAAGCTTGTTTTCTGCTTCCTTGGAGACTAGGACGAGGAACAATGGCTTCAAACTACAAGAGAGGAGATTCCATCTGAACATGAGGAAGAACTTCCTGACTGTGAGAGCCGTTCAGCAGTGGAACTCTCTGCCCCGGAGTGTGATGGAGGCTCCTCGGTAGGTGACCCTGTCGATGCCTTGGTCGCTCTCTGGAATGGAGAGATGACCAGGGCAATTGACACGATCGCTCCGGAACGTCCCCTCTCAAGTAGCCGAGCTAAACCAGCTCCTTGGTTTACTGAGGAGTTGGCAGTGATGAAGCGAAGGAAGAGGGAACTAGAGAGCGTGTGGCGTTCGGATCCGAGCGAGTCAAATCGAGCACGGTTTGTGTCCTTTTTAAGGGCATATGCCGCGGCAATAAAAGCCGCAAAGAAAACTTTCTTTGCGGCCACTATTGCGTCTGCAAAAAACCGTCCGGCGGAGTTGTTCCGGATTGTCAGAGGTCTTTTAACTCCCGCCACCTCAGGCGGGAGCCCTGACAATTCGGCCACGCGCTGTGAAGCATTTGCTCGGTTCTTTGCAGACAAAGTCGCTTTGATCCGTTCTGGTCTGGACACCATATTAAATGCAGTCTCTGAGGATGTGACACGAGCACCTGCTTGTCCTATTTTGATGGATTCTTTTCATTGGTGAAGCCCGAGGATGTGGACAAGATACTTGGAGGAATGAGGCCCACTACGTCCATCCTAGACCCCTGCCCATCCTGGCTTCTGAAGGAGGCCAGAGGGGGATTGGCTGAGTGGGTAACAGTGGTGGTTAACGCCTCCCTTCGGGAAGGCAAGATTCCAGCGAGCTTAAAACAAGCTATCATAAAACCGCTGTTGAAAAAACCATCACTGGATCCCACTAGATTTGACAACTTTCGGCCAGTTTCCAATCTCCCCTTTTTGGGCAAAGTCATGGAAAGCGTAGTGGCCTCACAACTCCAGGTATTCTTGAGAGACACGGATTATCTGGATTCGGCACAGTCTGGTTTCAGACCGGGACATGGAACTGAGACGGTCTTGGTCGCCTTAGTGGATGATCTGCGCCGGGAGCTAGACAGGGGGAGTGTGTCCCTGTTGGTGCTCCTGGACCTCTCAGCGGCCTTCGATACCGTCGACCACGGTATCCTTCTGGGGCGTCTTGCGGAGATGGGCCTCGGGGGCACTGTTCTACAGTGGCTCCGGTCATTTCTGGAGGGTCGCACCCAGAAGGTGTTATTGGGGGACACCTGTTCAACACCACAGCCTTTGACTTGTGGGGTTCCACAGGGCTCTATACTGTCCCCCATGCTGTTTAACATCTACATGAAGCCGCTGGGTGAGATCATCCGGAGTTTCGGGGTACGGTGTCATCTGTACGCAGATGATGTCCAACTCTGTCACTCCTTCCCACCTGCTACTAAGGAGGCTGTCGAGTTCCTGAACCGGTGTTGGCCGCTGTGACGGTCTGGATGAGGGCGAACAAATTGAAATTGAATCCCGACAAGACAGAGGTACTCCTGGTCAGTCGTAAGGCGAACAGGGTATAGGGTTTCAGCCTTTGCTGGATGGGGTTGCACTCCCCTTGAAGGCGCAGGTTTGCAGCTTGGGTGTGATCCTGGATTCATCGTTGAGCCTGGATCCCCAGGTTTCAGCGGTGACCAGGGGAGCATTTGCACAGCTCAGGCTCGTGCGCCAGCTGCGCCCGTACCTTGGGAAGTCTGACTTGGCCACGGTAGTACACGCTCTGGTCACATCCCGCCTTGACTACTGCAACGCTTTCTACGTGGGGCTGCCCTTGAAGACGGCCCGGAAGCTCCAGCTAGTCCAGCGCGGCAGCCATGTTACTAACAGGAGCGGGACGCAGGGAGCACACAACGCCCTTGTTGTCCAGCTCCACTGGCTGCCGATCTGCTACCGGGCCCAATTCAAGGTGCTGGTGTTGGCCTACAAAGCCCTAAACGGTTCCGGCCCAAAATACCTGTCTGACCGCATCTCGGCCTATGAGCCCACGAGGACTTTGAGATCGTCCGGGGAGGCCCTTCTCTCGATCCCGCCTGCCTCACAGGCACGCCTGGCGGGGACTAGGGACAGGGCCTTCTCGGTGGTGGCCCCCCGGCTGTGGAACACCCTCCCTGTGGACATCAGACTGGTGCCCTCCCTTATGACATTCCGCAAGAGACTAAAGACGTGGTTGTTTGAGAAGGCGTTTGAGTAAATGCTGCAACAATTGGCAATGACGATTGGAACGGAACATGGATAACGAGATTTGGATTGTGATTCGATGATGAGACGTCGCAAATGATTTAGTGTAACTGTATTATTGATAGTGATGTTGTTTATGAGCGGTATATAAATAAAGATGATGCAACAATTGGCAATGACGATTGGAACGGAACATGGATAACGAGATTTGGATTGTGATTCAATGATGAGACGTCGCGAATGATTTAGTGTAATTGTATTATTGATAGTGATGTTGTTTATTGTTGTTTGTGATATTGCTTATGTTGCAAATTGTACCTGTTTTTATATGTTGTACACCGCCGTGAGTCGCCCTAGGGCTGAGAACGGCGGTCTACAAGTGCAGTAAATAAATAAATAATAAATAAATAAATAAACCATGAACATCTACCGGTATTTGCTCATACTCCCTTCTCATACTCCCTTTTCTTTTCTCCTCTTCCCTCCCAATCTTTGATTGCCTCTCTGTCTGTCTGTCTGATCCAGGCCTGTGGTCTCTGGAATACAAGAGGGATCTAACCAACCCCCTCTGCATCTCAGCCAGCCATGGACATACCGCTTGCCTTCGCCACCTGCTCTTCTGGCGGGCCGACCCCAATGCAGCCCCAGGAGGACGAAGTGCCCTCCATGAGGCCTGTGGCAAGGGGCACACCAGCTGCACTGAGCTCTTGCTGGAACACAAGGCTAACCCTAATCTTGTGAGTGACGAAGGTCAAGTTCCTCTGCACCTCTGCACTGGCCAGAACACACTGGGGTAAGGAGCCAGCAGGACGGTTGTCTTTTCACAGGTTCCCAATGACTGTCACTCTTGGAACTAGACCTATGCACAAAATGTGTTCTTGTTTGACTTTGTGTCTTATTTTATTTTGGTATGGTAGAATGGCTTCAGCACTGGAACAGGACTGTAGAGACCAGGGTTGAAATCCAATTCTCATACATGGAAAACTACAGGGTGACCTTGAACAAGTCACACTCTCTCAGCCTCAGAGAAAAACAAACCTTTCAAGCCTATCTTGCTAAGGAAGCTCAAGGACAGCCTTAGGACCTCATCAGCTGGGTGGGGGGAAAGTGGAGGGAACTATCTTCCTTCGTTCCCTGCCTTCTTTCCCCATCTTCCGGGATGGCCAGCCATCCCACATCCTTTCCTCGTCTTCTGCCCATCTTTCCCTGTTCGAATCCATTTAGAGTCTAGTAATACCTGACTCCTGAAGACAGCTCCAGTCCCACATACTTCCACTGCAAGTTTACTTGTGTCATGTGCTGGGTTCTGTGGGAATTCCTGGGATTTTTTTTCCCACAGTGCATGGATACGGAGCCCTAAAGCTATCCAATGAAGTCCTTAGAGTCATCATAACTCAGAAATTACTAGATGATACACAAGAACAACAAAAACAGTGTGCTGTATCTCTCTGTGGTTGACAGAACTGTGAGAAAAAACACACATATCCCCAAGGCTTCTTCTCAGTTTTCAGTGCATAACTGATATGTCTGCAATGATTAGGCTAATTGGTTAAAAATATTGATTTAAAAGATACCTCTGGTTAATTTATCAGCTCATTTTAAAAGCGGCAAGATATATAAAAGCGCTATGTCACTTTCTTCTCATGTAAGTGAGAGTACTATCTCCAAATTGGGAAGGATAGCCAATACTCCAGAGGACAGGAGCAGAATTCAAAACGATCTTGACAGATTAGAGAGATGGGCCAAAACTAACAAAATGAAGTTCAACAGTGACAAATGCAAGATACTCCACTTTGGCAGGAAAAACGAAATGCAAAGATACAGAATGGGGGACAATGCCTGGCTCGAGAGCAGTACGTGTGAAAAAGATCTTGGAGTCCTCGTGGACAACAAGTTAAACATGAGCCAACAATGAGATGTGGCGGCAAAAAAGGCCAATGGGATTTTGGCCTGCATCAATAGGAGTCTAGTGTCTAGATCTAGCGAAGTAATGCTACTCCTCTATTCTGCTCTGGTTAGACCACACCTGGAATATTGTGTCCAACTCTGGGCACCACAGTTCAAGAGAGATATTGACAAGCTGGAATGTGTCCAGAGGAGGGCGACTAAAATGATCAAGGGTCTGGAGAACAAGTCCTATGAGGAGCGGCTTAAGGAGCTGGGCATGTTTAGCCTGAAGAAGAGAAGGCTGAGAGGAGATATGATAGCCATGTATAAATATGTGAGAGGAAGCCACAGGGAGGAGGGAGCAAGCTTGTTTTCTGCTTCCTTGGAGACTAGGACTGCGGAACAATGGCTTCAAACTACAGAGAGGAGATTCCATCTGAACATGAGGAAGAACTTCCTGACTGTGAGAGCCGTTCAGCAGTGGAACTCTCTGCCCCGGAGTGTGGTGGAGGCTCCTTCTTTGGAAGCTTTTAAACAGAGGCTGGATGGCCATCTGTCAGGGGTGATTTGAATGCAACATTCCTGCTTCTTGGCAGGGGGTTGGACTGGATGGCCCATGAGGTCTCTTCCAACTCTTTGATTCTATGATTCTATGGTAAGTGAGAGTGACCACAGGAATATGTATCTATGTCATTATCTCTTCCCTTTGGAATGATCTTAATATCATCTTTCATATGTTTTCAGACTTAACTTGGTGTATTGGCTTGAGTCTTGGGTTATAAGTCCAGGGAACCAAGGTCCTAATCTTGTTTCATCTATTGGGTGATAGAACATCACAACCTCACAACCTCAGAGGAAAGCAACGGCAACTTCTTTGCAACAAATCTTACCATGAAAATAAATCAGAGTCAATGTGAATTTTTTGATCCTCATTGTTGTTTCATGGGAAGTAGTGCACATTTTTGCAGGCCTCATCAATTAACATACATACAATAAAACAGCTCATATTTCTTTAATTGGTTGACAACTGTAGGGAAGTCTCATATAAACATGAAAAGCTGTGTTTTCACTTTGCATAGCTCATATTGCAGACAGCCCTAGAGGCCATTCTGACAGAAAGGGTGCCCTTTTCTCTGTACACACAGATTCTTTACAACATATACTGTACATGGAAAGCATTCAGTAAGTACAGAGCTGTGCTTAGAATTACAATGTTTTCACCGAATATCCCTGCTGTAGTCAGGCATGTAGCCGGGGGGGGGGGGGGGGGGTGGGGGGGTGGGGGGGGGGGGGGGGGGGGGGGGGGGGGGGGGGGGGGGGGGGGGGGGGGGGGGGCTTGAAGGGCTTCAGCCCCCCCCGAAATTCTCATGGTGGTTCGCGAAAAGGCCTTACTGGTGCATTATTTAAACTGTTATGTTTATTCATATCATGATCTGATCACCATACTCAATATATCCCATATGCATGGGGGTATTGGGGTAATGATACAAAAGGTTTGCTAGGCTAGACCCTCTTTCACTCAGACTCAGAGCCCCCCCCCGAACCCCCCCCCCCAAACGAAATCCTGGCTACGGGCCTGGCTGTAGTCATGATGCTGTTCCTAGACTCCCTTTGGCCTCATTCTCTCCTGGTAGTCACATCCACAGCTCCCTCCACATTTGTGGATGAAGGGAGTGATCATTCCCACTTCCCTTTTCCCCTTTGGAGAAGGGTGTCAGGGGCTAGGTGATAGGTCATTTCCATTTGGGTTGGACTGCAACATTGAAAGCAAAAAATGGGCAACTACACAACAGTTGGGAACCAATCCCCCCTCTCCCCAAAAAAATCACCATATATCCCACCTGCCCATCTGTGCATAGAAATACTGATTTGGCCAAATGGAAACCAGAAGTAATGCACTATTATTAGCTCTGGCTGCCATTTTGGTCAATATACAGCTGGAAAAATAGGCATGGACAATGTAGATGGATTTATTCACCTATTCCGTTCATTCCTGCCTTTCCCTTGGAAAGGAACCCAAGGCAGTTAATGATTTTATACATAAATTAGATAAATGCAAATTAAACAAATACATTAAATGCATTTAAAACATAATTTAAAACATTTGAGACAAAGAATGGACTACTTTCAACATTGTTTTGCCTTATGATTAAAAATCCACCATAAGTCTGTCTAAATTAATTGTGCTTAAGCTGGGTCTACACTGCCATATAATGTAGTTTCAGAATGCAGATTAACTGTACTGAATTGGATTATGGACCTCTTCACACAAACCAGAGAGGCCAACAGTCACCAGCAAAAGGGAAGGCGTGCAGTGTGCCTCGTGGCGCCCCATGTGCCCTCCCTCCTTCCCTCATCATATAGTGGGGATGGGACAGGGCACGTTGGCACCCTGTTCCCATCATACAGGAGAAAGGGTTAGGATTAGGAGCCCACGGTGGCGCAGTGGGTTAAATCCCTGTGCCGGCAGGACTGAAGACCGACAGGTCGCAGGTTCGAATCTGGGGAGAAGCGGATGAGCTCCCTCTATCAGCTCCAGCTCCTCATGCGGGGACATGAGAGAAGCCTCCCACAAGGATGATAAAAACATCAAATCATCCAGGCATCCCCTGGGCAACGTCCTTGCAGACAGCCAATTCTCTCACACCAGAAGCGACTTGCAGTTTCTCAAGTCGCTCCTGACACAACAAAAAAAAAAAGGAGAAAGGGTGGCAATGTGCAGCAATGCGCATTGCCCCTTTGCCCTTTCCCCCATCATATGAGGAAAAGATGAGGAAAGTGCGGATATACTTTGTTAACAGCATATGCAATTGAAAGACCATTTTACTCCCCCAGTTCTTGTGGGTTTTTTCGGGCTATATGGCCATGTTCTAGAGGCATTTCTCCTGACGTTTCGCCTGCATCTATGGCAAGCATCCTCAGAGGTAGTGAGGTCTGTTGGAAATAGGAAAATGGGTTTATATATCTGTGGAATGACTGGGGTGGGGCAAAGAGCTCTCTGCTGAAGCTAGGTGTGAATGTTTCAGCTGACCACCTTCATTAGCATTTGAAGGCCTGGCTGAGCCTGGGAAAATGTTCTGTTGAGAGGTGTTAAGATGTGCCTGGTTGTTTCCTCTCTGCTGCTTTGCTGTAGTAATTTTAGAGTTTTTTAATACTGGTAGCCAGATTTTGTTCATTTTCATGGTCTTCCTTTCTGTTGAAATTGTCCACATGCTTGTGGATTTCAATGGCTTCTCTGTGTAGTCTGACATGGTGGTTGTTGGAGTGGTCCAGCATTTCTGTGTTCTCAAATAGCCTATAGAGCGTTGTCTGATGATGTTTGGCAGTCCCCATCCAAGCCCCCTACCAAAAGCAGCAAATCTGGGCTATTTAGTCCCATGTGAACAGCTCCTATATGGCAGTGTAGACTCATATAATTCAGTTCATATAATCTGCATTGTGAAACTGCATTATATGGCAGTATAGATCCAATCTTACTCTGTTGGCAGAAAGAAACGGGTGAAGGGGCCAAGTGGACTTCCCATGGGAAGGAATCCTATGATCTGGGAGCAGCCACTGAGTAGATGCTCTCCCTTGTCCTCACCAACCTGTGGGAGATTCTCACACATATTTAAAGGAATTCTATTACAAAATTAGATATTCCTTTTTAAAAAAAAAAAAAAAAGATAACGAAACTTTCATATATGGAAATTTGGACGACGGATTGGATCACGACTCTAGTTATGAGATGCATTGTGTTGTTATTGTTGTGTCAATATTGTATATTATGCTTTTATGGTTTTAAATTGTATATCGTTGATTGATTCTTATCCTTGTTGTAAACCGCGTTGAGTCGCCTGTTGGGCTGAGAAACTGCGGTATACAAGTAAAGTAAAGTAAATAAATAAATAAATAAGTACAGGCAGT